TTAGAAAAAACAGCAGATACCCTTGAGGTCAAATCGTATCTGAAGTACATACTATATCGTTCATGAGAGGTGTACCGCGACTCCCGCGTTCTTTTTAACAAAGTACTTAGATAATAGGCCAGTATGGGCCGAATGATTCCATTCATCATAATACAAACTAACCTAAGTGTTAATATTGTATGTGTTAACCCAAAACATTAAGAATATTTGTGTTAAGTTTACCCGTTTTTTAATTCCGTTCAGACGTTTTTAATTAATTGATATTTTCGTATTATTGTGTGCACTACTCTTACAGTTCAAACCAATACTACACTGTATGAACACAACGACAACAAAAAAAACTATCTCATTAATTTATTGAGAACATGGCAAAATAATATCAGGGTTCAAGTTGCGGGTGCGTGTCCAGGTGGAGGGCAGCCGGCCTCGACCTCTCATACCTCACCTGCCATTCCGATTCAGGCACCCGTCACGTGCGGATGTGCTCGTAGACCGTTCGATCGCACGACCTCGATTCGTGGTACATCTGGTGTCCACGTCCTTTATCGGAAGTGACTACGTGTGATAATAGGTCATTATTCGTGGTATATCTGTGGCCCAGATGTGCCACTGATGTGTACTTCTAGGAATTTCCACCTGCGCCTAATTGCAAGGTATTGCGGCCCTGGATCAATGTAGAACCATTAATAAAATTCCTATAATCGTTTCCGCCAATTAAGTGTCACCGACGCAGGGATCTCGCCGTAAAGTGAGCTCGTATTTAAGTTCCGGGGCAGCTCCAACTGGGCAGTCAGAAGAAATGGAGTTCTCTCCAGCTAACACTCTGCTCGCGGAATTTTTACGGGAAAAATACCCAGCCCTCGAATCAAAATTTTTTGCTTACAAAGCTAAAGGCGCCGTGAAACCTCCTGCGCTGTACGCCGCAGCTTCTGTCGCTCCCACCGCTCCCGTGTCACCGATACACGCTAGCAAAGCTCCCTAGTCAGCCAGTGTGGTCTCAGTTCCAGTACAGCGTTCTTCCGCGGCATCCGCCCCGCCCCGCGTCGTCCACTGATCCCAAGCATATGTCCGGGGCTTCCGTAGTGACCGCCGCTCCCGCGCCCTCTAAAATACCCGCCTGCAGGTCGCCTGCACCCTCCTCTTCATTCGACTCGGAGTCGGACATGGAGGTCGGCCCTTCCCTTGCCCCCTCGATTAATGGATTCACAGTGGTTCAAAAAGGTAAAAAGCGCACTGCGGAAGCCTGAGCTCTCGCGGCCGCCGAAGCAAGCAAAGCCGCGAATGCATCGCGACTCCGCGAGTAATCCTTGAAGAGAAGGCAGCGTGGAACCGAGTTTCCCTGGCCATTAAGGTCAAAAATATATATTTCGTGAGCGCCCATAACCTCGTGAACGGGAATCAAATAAAGGTAACGACATCCGACGACCATAGGGCACTCTCCTCTTACCTCCGCAAGGGGCGTATAAATTTCCATACGTATACGCTCGAGGAGGAGAGCGAATTCCATGCGGTCATAAGTGGCATTCCTGAAGAGTTGGAGGCTGAGCTCGTCAAGGTCGACTCTCTATATCAAAGACTACCTGTCAACTCCGTGCATCACATGCATGTGGTGGTGGTACCATCATTTAACTGAAGAGCCCTGCATTGCATCCCACTCGATCCTCCCGCGCTCGCTAGCATCGAAGCATCAGGGTGCCAAATCTCACTGTCGGGACACTCGTCGCGTCCGTTTATTTTCCACCTGATAAGATCGTTTTAAGCAGTGATAACGAGGCGCTCCTCGGCATGGGAAGCTTTGTCGTTCTGGTGGGCGACATAATCTGTAAACACATCATTAGAAACTCGCATACCACAGCCCCCAACGGCAGACGCGTCGACGCGTTAGTCGATGATATAACTTTCTATATCGTCGTTCACACGTTCGACACTGACTCACTACCCGCTAAATATCACGCAGCGCCTGGATATACTCAACATAGCATTATAAAAAACGCAATTCTGCGGTTACGTTCGATCGAAGTAGTTTCAGAGTTAGACTCAGACCACCGTCTCGTCGTTATGAAACTCGGTCGTACTCCCGATTCGGTTCCCGTCACGAAAACTTTGGTGGATTGGCACACACTGGGCATCAACCTGGCTGAATCTGATCCAATATCGCTCCCGTTCAGCCCAGACTCTACCCCATAACCTCAGGATACCAGAAAAAAAAAAAAATAGACATCTTAACGCCACATATCACCTCGACATTAGATAGGTCACCGAAGCAAGTTGCAGCGGAGGACTTCCTTTACCGCTTTAAATTACCCGACGATGTTAGGGAGCTAAGAACGCCTCGATACGCGCCTACGATAGATGTCCTACCGCGCAAAATCGTATTCGAATGCGTGCCCTGCAACGCGACATAAAATCTCGCATCGCCGAAGTCTGAGATGCCAGAAGGTCTAATTTCTTAGAAAAAGTCGCGCCCTACCACTGCTCTTACTACCGCTTAGCTCGTAGCTCGTACTCTCAAATCGGCTACAATAGTAACTATCTCACCCCTCGTAGGCCCCTCAGATCGACTCGCGGCGTTTGATGATGACGAAAAATCAGAGCTGCTGACTGATTCATTGCAGGCCCAGTGCACTCCCATCACTCAATTCTTAGACTCTGCTCATCCGTCACCCCGATGGAAGTTAAAGACTTGATCAAAGGCTTACGTCCTCGCAAGGCTCCCGGTTCAGACGGTATTTTTAACCGCGTTATTAAGCTTCTACCCGCCCAACTGATCGTGATGTTGGCATCTATTTTCAATGCCGCTATGACGAACTGCGTCTTTCCGACGGTGTGGAAAGAAGCGGACGTTATCGGCATACATAAACCCGGTAAACCAAAAAATCATCTGACGAGCTACCGCCCGATTAGCCTCCTCATGTCTCTAGGCCAGTATTTCTCAAAGTGGGCGATAACGCCTCCTGCGGCGTTTGAAACCTAGAGGGGGGCGTTTAGAGGCCCAGAAAAAAATGGGGGTAATTTCATTTACTTTATATAGTATTTTAAATATCACTAAAATTAAAACTCACGTACTACACAATAACGAATAATTAGTTTATATTTCTACCCTGTATGATGTTATAAAAACTTAAAATACTTAACATAGATTTCGTAGGATAGATAGCCCGCACACCGTACGCAATCAAGTTGTAACAAGTTTCTGCGGATAAAGCAATGATAGTTAAAAAATTTGACCAATTTTACCTTAATTACATTGCATCAGAAATTATTTAGAAACATTAAAAAAAAAACTACCATGCAGAGTTTTAAAATATTATACATACGTAAACTGACATAAATTGAGGTTTTCTTTACTTTCGTTCTTTCGGCATTTCACAGCATTTTCCTTTGATTATATATACGTGTATATAATCAAAGGCATTTTCCTAGCATTTTATAAGAAATTACTGATAATTTTTATATATAAATCATAATTTTTATATAAAATGGAAATACGTATATAATTATTGTTCAAAAAGTTGTCTTAGAATATTTTTTTACAATAAACTCATTACCGTCCAGTGTCAAATAGTATAAGTAAGCCTAAACAACTCACTTATTGTAAGCATTGTTTACTATTTCTATATAATAATAGGTTGGGGAAAAAGTTTCTTCGCATTTTTTAAGAAAATTCACAACATTTTTTAATATAGTTTTTATAGGTACCATTTTGTTCGATAACTTTTTGCCATATAGGTAGGGACATGATCCCATTGCTATAGAAATTTTGGGGCTTCTGATCAAAATACCAATTGCCACGCAATTGGTTTCGGCAGTCCTCTCGTGATGTTAACCTGACACTGCCTAAAGAATTCTGAAGAGACCGAAACAGATGGAAATCTGAAGGTGCAAAGTCAGGACTATACGGCAGATTCATTAACACCTCCCAGCCAAGCTCTCTTAATTTTTACTGAGTGGCTAAAGATGTGTGAGGTCTAGCGTTATCATGCTGAAAAACCACACCCCTTCTGTTGAGTAATTCGGGCCGCTTTCTCTCAACTTCTTTCTTTAATCTCATCAGTTGTTCGAGATGATACCGGCATCTCTTTTTTACCATCACACTGCCCGCCACCGGAGTAGAGGTCATCCATACTATCTGGAGCCACTGCGGTCATCCACAGTGCGTTTTCAGAGGTATTTTTTGCCACGTACCATCCGGCAATGGAATGAGCTACCTTCCACGGTGTTTCCCGAGCGCTACACATGACATGTCCTTCTTCAAACGAGGCTTGTGGAGAGTATAAAGCGGTAGGCAGCGGCTTGGCCCTGACATTGCTGAAGTCTATGGGTGACGGTAACCACTCACCATCAGGTGGGCCGTATGCTCGTCTGCCTACAAAGTCAATAAATAAAAAATAGCATGAACCTAAACAAAAAACTCTCATGATCTCCAGTTCCTCCAGAGATTTGCTGCATAAGTTTACACTTTTTGACCATTTAAATATTTCGTTGAGAACTCTGTTTAAAGAATAATTTATTAATTATTATTATCGTGATAAGTAGACTCAACTTGAAAGAGACGATTGAATGAGAACTAGCAACCTATAGCAATGAGAAATATGAAATTACTAACGTGAAAATAAAATACTTTTTATTTTTTATGTTTATCAGCGCCATCTATTAAATAAGCACCGCTAATACAATTCGAACACATAGATGCAGCCGTTTCTCTCGTTAAGGGATTATGTTTTGGAATTGCCCATCGAGTTTCGCGACATATCGGATCACACATCGGATGCTCTACTTTACGCTCATATGCTATAGAAGTTATGAATGGTTCAGGTAAACAAGAAATAAAACAACAACAACAACATTCCACAAGATTCATTCGGATTTCATTTCAAACAAAAACACGTTATTCCTATAATATAATTAGGACTGCTTTTACAGTTTAATGTCGTGTTTGTCGTCGTCTGTAAAAGTAATTTTAATTATCACTACAACTCGCGAAATCCGAAGATATTACGTTATTCCGCTAGTTGGTTCTCCAACTGTGAGAGAATAGTTTCAAAAGCGCGCTCTGTTTTCATATATTCCAACTTCTCTTGGTCACTGAACACGTACGGTTCACTGGTCGCGTTGGGATAGATGATGTAAGGCTGTTTTAGGGACATAAGCCACGCTCCGTGCTTTATTTTGATCGGAGGCCTAGAGATTAACGGTATGGTTGAGTTAACTGGAAGACCTTCGATCTTCTTCGCACCGGCTGAAGTGACAACATACGGGTGATCGTTCGCTCCGATGTAGTATAAGTTGTCATCCCAGTCCAGCGCTATTTTCTCGGCATGCTCAGCTTCGTTGATTTTGACTTTCTTGGTGCCTTCCTCCGTGATCTTGTAGACGACGTGGTCTTCTGTCAGAATGTACAGGTCGTCACTGTGGTTCTCTATTGTGATCCCGATGACGTTGTCACTCAGATTGCCGTACTTCTCAAGCTTCTCTGTTTCTGTGTCGTAAATGTAGATACCGTCCTTATTACCCAAAAAGGTGCGCGACTTCGGAGACCAATCTGAGATGGCATTGCCGTCTTCTAAAATTTTCTTCACTTTGCCGTTTTTGTAGGCGTATATACTTTTGTCCACTTTATTGCCACGCCTAGTTATGGTACGCGCAATGAACGTTGTGGCGTTAGAATCAAAGATTCCGCTGGAGTTGTCGGGGACCGAGCTGCTATTATTTCCGCTGGTGTCATTCAGTGGATTGGTAATGTCATGGTTGCTGGAGTCAGTGTCATAATCCTTTTGCGGCAATGAGTGAGAATCAGCCGTCTGCAGGCAGACCAGTAAGCCTGCCAGGCAAACTAACAGCACCCTCATCTTGGAATCTATAATGTCAATAAAAGGAGCCTTTAGTACTACAGAGGGGAAGGTGAGCGTCACGTCAGTCAGATTCATTACTGCAAGATCATGTTGATAAATGCAGTGTTAACTTTAAGTTCACAAATATTGCTATAAAGGACATAATTGATAATTTCAAGCTCATTAATATTAAAAAAACTGGTGATTTATGGGGAATATCAATTAAGGTTATAAAATCCATTATTGATATAATCGCACCTTACCTTGCTACAATATTTAATGACTGTATTGATAGNTTTAGAAAAAACAATAGATACCCTTGAGGTCAAGTATATAATATAATATCATTCACGAGAAATACGCCGCGACTTTGCCCGCGTTGATTTTCAATTCTTCCGAATGAATGCAATTTCCGCAGAGATTGTCGCATTCTCTTGTGTATAAAGTGACAGTCGAACAAATTGATTGATAATTTAAAAAGCACGAACAATAATCATAATCGTAATCGTATTTATTATAATAGTAGATAGGCCCAGTATAGGCCGCGATGCAAAGTACCCTAATCGTTAATGTAAATGTATGTTAATCCAAGTGTTAACGAAAGAAGCGGTGCCCCCCTCTACGACGCCGCGGGACGCGCGCGCCCCTCCATTTCATTCCGCCCCGACTAGCCGTATGATCGCACGCGCCCAGTACACACCATTTTGTTGGCGCGTCCATTTTCAAGAATCCTCCGTTAAACAAGAACTTTTGGGGATTGATTGCTCCCGCTTCCGTAGGTTTAACCGGCGATTCCCTACAAGTGACCCCTGGGTGGTGCTAAACGGGAGACGAATACATAATCGGTGGTAGGATTTGTCCGACTGGCTGGCGACCACTCTCCAATTAGAGTCTGCCGCCAAACAGTCTAGCTATGCTCCGGCGTATGGGTTGGAAAGCCAGTTTTATTCCTTCCCTTTCCTCTTCCTTGTTCGGGGTGAATCTTGATGATACCTGGAACATGCGAAACAGATGTGCGTGCGAGCTCGCGGGACGTGATTGTTTGACGGGGGTATAGGGAGACCTAGTGAAACGGAGTTCGCCGCCGCCCTCCGGTCAGTTGGGGACTTGAACCCGGGTGTCACTACTAAGCTCCGCCCCGGAAAGCTGCCCCGCCAACCGGTGTAAAATCCTGTCATGCGATCGTCGTGCCGGAGTCGGAGAATGCAGTGGATCCCGGCGATCGTACGCAGGGCGGACAGGGGGCCCTTCCATGCCCTGCGTCAGTCTCTCACGCAACCCGTGGTCGAGCACGTACTGTGTTCCGCGCTTTATTCAGGTGTTGTCATGATTTCGCCTCGAACTTCCTACCCCACCTAATCCCACTTTCCAAATAAAATTATGACAGCTCGAAAAAGAAAAAGGGTTTTGTCGGCGTTTCCCCATTCCACATTTAATGTGAATTTCAGCAATGTAAAGGGTCTACATAGCAACTTCGACGCCGTACACCACCATCTTGAGACGAGCATGTGCAAGAGGGGACTAACCGCGTGCTTGAGCAGTACCCATCTGCGGAGGTAGTGGTTCTTGGAGACTTTAACGCTCACCACCAGGAGGAGTTGGGGTCCAGAACCAGTGACCTCCCGGGTCGGGCTGCCTACGATTTCGCCCTGGCCTACGGCTTCTCCCAGCTGGTGACACAGCCCGCCCGTGTCCCAGATATTGAGGGGCACGAACCTTCTCTGTTGGATCTTCTGCTAACCACCGATCCAGCCGGATACGGTGTGGTGGTCGACGCTCCGCTTGGATCGTCTGATCACTGCCTTATGCGTGCTACCACACCACTCTCTCGTCCTAGTTGTCGAACGATGACCAGGTATCGAAGAGTTTGGCAGTATATGTCAGCAGATTGGGATGGATTACGTGAATTTTACGCGTCCTACCCATGGAGGCTATTCTGCTTTTCCTCTGCTGATCCTGACGTCGGTGCAGACCGTCTTAAAGACGTGGTGCTCCATGGAATGGAATTGTTTATTCCCTCCTCTAAGGTGCCCGTTGGGGGTAGCAGCAGACCCTGGTATAACAAGGCCAACAAGGACGCTGCACACCTCAGGCGGTCCGCATACGTGGCATGGGATGATGCCAGGAGACGTCGGGATCCTAACATCTCAGAGAAAAGGCGGAAATATAACGCCGCTTCCAGGTCCTACAAGAAGGTTATTGCCAGGGCGAAGTTGGAGCACGTTGCTAGAATGGGCGAGCGACTGAAGAGCTACTATCCCTCTGGGAGCCGTGCTTTTTGGTCGCTCGCCAAAGCTGCAGAAGGAAACTTTTGCAGGTCTAGTCTCCCACCACTACACCACCGATGACAGTCTGGCCCATAGTGCGAAAGAGAAGGCTGACCTTCTGGTCAAACTCTTCGCCTCGAACTCGACTGTGGACGACGTGGGTGCCACACCACCGAACATCCCAAGGTGTGATAGTTCCCTGCCGGAGATCTGCTTTACACAGTGTGCAGTCAGGCGGGAGCTCCGACTCCTGGACGTCCATAAGTCGACGTCGAGTGGACCAGACGGTATCTCTGCAGTGGTTCTGAAAACGTGCGCCCCTGAGCTGACGCCTGCGCTAACGCGTTTGTATCGCCTCTCTTATTGCACTAACAGGGTTCCGTTTTCGTGGAAGACCGCCCACGTCCACCCTATCCCCAAGAAGGGTGACCGGTCGGACCCATCGAGCTACAGGCCTATCGCGATAACTTCCTTGCTTTCCAAGGTGACGGAGCGAATAATAAATACACAACTCCTGAAGTATCTTGAAGATCGCAGGTGATCAGTGACCGACAGTACGGTTTCCGTCACGGTCGCTCAGCTGGCGATCTTTTTGTATACCTTACTCACAGGTGGGCTGAAGCCTTGGAGAACAAGGGCGAGGCTCTTGCTGTGAGCCTTGATATCGCGAAGGCCTTCGACAGGGTCTGGCATAGGGCACTTCTGTCGAAGCTACTATCTTACAAAATTCCTGAGGGTCTCTGCAAGTGGATCGCTAGCTTTTTGGATGGGCGGAGCATCACGGTCGTTGTAGACGGTGACTGTTCTGATGCCATTACCATTAACGCTGGCGTTCCACGAATTTCGGTGCTCTCCCCTACGCTTTTCATCCTGTATATCAATGACATGCTGTCTATTGATGGCATGCATTGCTATGCGGATGACAGCACGGGGGAGACGATCAAAACTTGTGTCTGAAGTGGAGAACTCTCTGGGGCGAGTCTCCGGTGGGGTGGAACCAAGTTCAATTCAACCCGATAAAGACACAAGTTTGTGCGTTCACTGCGAAGAAGGACCCCTTTATCATGGCGCCGCAATTCCAATCCCCCCTCCCTGGAGTATCCCTGCAACCTTCCGAGAGTATCGGGATACTTGGGGTTGACATTTCGAGCGACGTCCAGTTTCGGAGTCACTTGGAAGGCAAAGCCAAGTTGGCGTCCAAAATGCTAGGAGTCCTCAACAGAGCGAAGCGGTACTTCACGTCTGGACAAAGGCTTTTGCTTTATAAAGCACAAGTCTGGCCTCGCGTGGAGTACTGCTCCCATCTCTGGGCCGGGGCTCCCAAGTACCAGCTTCTTCCATTTGATTCCCTACAGAGAAGGGCCGTTCGAATTGTCTATAATCCCATTCTCACGGATCGTTTGGAACCTCTGGGTCTGCGGAGGGACTTCGGTTCCCTCTGTATTTTGTACCGTATGTTCCATGGGAAGTGCTCTGAGGAATTGTTCGAGATGATACCGGCATCTCTTTTTTAGCATTGCACCGCCCGCCATCGGAGTAGAGTTCATCCATACTACCTGGAGCCACTGCGGTCATCCACAGTGCGTTTCCAGAGAATTTTTTTGCCACGTACCATCCGGCTATGGAATGAGCTCCCCTCCACGGTCTTTCCCGAGCGCTATGACATGTCCTTCTTCAAATGAGGCTTGTGGCGAGTGTTAAGCGGTAGGCAGCGGCTTAGCTCTGCCTCTGGCATTGCTAAAGTCCATGGGCGACGGTAACCACTCACCATCAGGTGGGCCGTATTCTCGGCTGCTTACAAGGGCAACAAAAAAATCAAGAACACGCGCGGCCATCACAAAAAATCGCTGCCGCGTGCAATTTCAAGAAGCCTCGTTAACGAGTCCCGCGATCTATATGTTACCGTAACGAGAGCGCTACTCAATCGTTCGTACTCAGACCAATAGGTCTATTAAGAATCTCTCATCTGATACACTAACTTTAATGGCTTAAATGGCTTATAAATTAATTGAAGATTATACATGTTTTACGTAATCACTTATTAACTAAATTTTTTTATATTGTATCTTATTTTTCTTAAACTATTTAAAACCTATTTCGGCCTGCAGATGATTCGTTGGCTGTTTCGCTTCGAGTAGTCCTGATTACTAACTGACTGCGTGCCATCTCTGCAATGCTTTGATAGCCTATACCACATCCCTAGAATCATCGAGAATATTCCACACATTTCTAGTATTGTGTTTCCGCTATCTGATAATAGATGGCCTTATACTTCTCAAGCGTTCTAGATGCTACTAGATCCTTACATATTCATTCGACTATTCGGCGATAGATGGCGTTACTCTTACCAGCGTAACATTACTATAGAGGATAAGATGAGCGTCACGTCAGTCAGGCATCACGCGGGGACCAGAACATCTACCGGAACTACTTTAATGCCGTTAGTAGTTAAGACTTCCACCTCATGTCTCAAGGCAGCTTTCCCGCTGTGGTCATGGGCTCAGTTTTCGCTTATTATTTCTGTCCATTTCAAGCATTGACGAACATCTAAATACAGTTGGTAAGAATAAGAACAATGACTTACCGCTTCGAGCAACAGAGCACGACTGACACTTCTGTATTTGTCCGATCTGTACTATTTTTTTCGTCGCGATCGCGACAGGCCAGCGCCCGCGTCTCGCGACTCACTGCTTAGTATAAAAATATATGAAACCCTAAACAACGCAAGCGACCCGGTCGCGCGACCTGTGGGCGTGGCTAGCAAGCGACCGTGGTCGCGCGACGCTACTGCTGCTGGAGCAGTGGCGCCGCGCGACCCTCCACGTTTACGTCAAAATGGCGTCATTTTCCAGACATGATGACGAACTATTATTTTTTTAATTTTTTTATTGCCTAGGTGTGTGGACGAGTTCACAGCCCACCTGGTGTTAAGTGGTTACTGGAACCCATAGACATCTACAACGTAAATGCGCCACACAAGAGGCCCTACCATACACATACAAGGTGGTAGGGCCTCTTGTGAGTCCGCACGGGTAGGTACCACCGCCCCGCCTATTTCTGCCGTGAAGCAATAATGCGTTTCGGTTTGAAGGGTGGAGCAGCCGTTGTAACTTTACTGAGTCCTTAGAACTTATATCTCAAGGTGTGTGGCGCATTTACGTTGTAGATGTCTATGGGTTCCAGTAACCACTTAACACCGGGTGGGCTGTGAGCTCGTCCACACATCTAGGTAATAAATAAAAAAAAAAGATAATAGGCCCAGTATTACTGGCCGAGTGATCCCGTTTATCATGTTCATTAAATGAACGGTTTTTACTTGATTTATATTTGCGTATATTCGTGTGTACTACTCTTACAATTCGAGCCAATACCATGCTATGTGAACATAACAAAAAAAAGTTTCCCACGGAGATTATTGAGAGCATGGCAAAATATGTCAATCATCTCAGGGGTCCGGTGCCGGTGTGTGTCCAGCTGCTGGAGGGTGGTCTCGCACCTCATCTGTACCTACACATTGTTACGCCACTAACGCCATCTATCGCCGAATAGCCGAAACGAATACCAAGGGATCTAGTATCATCTAGAACTCTTGAAAAGTGCAACACCATTAGTTGTAAGATACCGGAAGCACGCATCGAAAGTGCTCGATTTGTGAGGAATGTTCGATAGAGGATTTCGTATCGACTATAAAGGCGTTGCAGAGATGGAACGCAGTCACTCAGTAATCGAAACTACTCGAAGCGAAGCAGCGAACGGATCACCTGAAGCGAAGTGGAAGGAGCGAATTGAGAATTTTAAATTGTTTGTGGAGTGTTTCAAGTTGTACTTTGTTTTTCTTTTATTGCTTAGATGTGTGGACGAGCTCACAGCCCCCCCGTTGTTAAGTGGTTACTGGAGCTCATAGACATCCACAACGTAAATGCACACCCACAGACCTTGAGATATAGTTCTAAGGTCTCATTATAGTCATAACGGCTGCCCCACCCTTCAAACCGAAACGCATTACTGCTTCACGGCAGAAATAGGCGGGGTAGTGGTACCTACCCGTGCGGACTCACAAGAGGTCTCGCCTTGTCGCGGCGGTGGGGCTTAAGCGTGCACCCCGATACCGTGGAGCAGCGTTGTCTGCACAGGGGTGCCGCGAACTAAGAGGACTGCACACCGTTTTCCCGTTTCCTACCTTTGCTAGACAAAGGGTGCGCGAAGAGGGAGAGGGCTCCCTTCTGGAGCCCTCTTGGATGCTAGGCCATATCCCCAGCTGCCTCTTGGCAGCTTGAGGGGAAGGCCCTCAAGAGGGGGGTACCGGTTTACGGGCGTGGCTTCGTAAAAGCATACCGTAATCCCTACCGAGTAGGAGGCGGAGGCCGCTGCGTAGCAGGGGTCGCGAGGATGCGAACCTCTATAAAAAATGCCTTAATCTTAAGCTTGTGACGTGCCCGGCAATGAGATGAGTGGCTGGAGGGAGTCCAGTCGTGAGGACCGTCCCAGGGGTTATTATTGTTCCTTTGTTATTTAACCCCTGGTTAAATAACAAAGGAACAATAATAATGATGGCACACTTAAAAGAAAAATTACCCCAGGAGAGTACCACCTTAGGTGGAGAATCCCTCCATGCTTCCACCTCGGTGGGAGTACGCTGCTCCGCGTATTCTGGGGGGGGGGAAAAGCATGCCATGATGAAGGGGGCTGTGCGACGGGCAGCGGAAAACCCGTCGAACAGAGGCGTGCAAGAAGTACAATGCCATCTATTGTCAGATAGCGGAAGTACGCACCGAAAGTGCTCAACTTATGAGGAATGCTCTCAACGATGATGTCGTATCGACTATAAAGGCGTTGCAGAGATGACACGCATTCAGTTAATAATCGGAACTACTCGAAGCGAAACAGAAAACGGATCACCTGAAGCGAAACGGAAGAAGCGAATTGAGAATTTTAAAGTGTTTGTGAAGCGTTCTAAGTGATAAATACAGTTTTAAGTTGTACTTTAGTGGAACATTTATTTATCGTGAACCCCAGCGCGTAACAATATGTATATATTATTATGTACTATTTACTCGTCCGCACTAACTCACTGACCGATTCTTCAACTCAGAGCCCCAGCCACTGAGTCATAAGCTTGGAATAAAGTCGAGCATTGTTGAGACGCTTATGTCTCTCTAACCAGTTTCCAACAAAGTTCTTCGCCACCACAAAAGTGAAGCCGCTGCCTAGGGCCCTACAGCCCGGTACAAGACACTAGTGTAGTTCCCAAAGCTGTAGATAGAGTCCGGTGTAGCCCAGTGCCCTGACATATCCTTCTACAAATATCGAAGAAACAAGACATCGAATTATCCGCGGCGCGCACCCCGGAGTTCCTCTGACACTGAGTTACACAAAGTACAGTAATTCATTAAATCAATGTTGCCCGTAAAAAAAATTTACTTCGGTTGCACGTCAACTTCTTTGCCGAGTTCGACGAGTATAGTTACCGGGATCCCTACGCCTGCTCCTATTGATAGAGGTGAAGGCGTCTAATGCAACAGTTATCAGATCTGATGGATTCGTAACGACGTACCTAGGGCGTCGACGGTCACTGGGTAGCGATTCCGATCCAGTAGTAGATTCATCCGCGAAACAGCTGTTCTTGAGTTGTTAGGTTCCCTTTGGAGACGCCTGGGTAGCTGTAAGCAAATCCTGGCTGACTCCGTGCTCGCCCACCGGTCGTGGGGAAACAAGAAATGCCTCCGGGCCACCAGTCATCCTTCAACCATAAAAAAATGTTAACCATACGTAATAATACGTCTTAATAATATATGGATTCTGTTAATAATATATACCGTGGATCCGCAATTTTAATATACCATATACCGAAATGAACAAAAGAAAAGGAATCAATAGCACAAATGTCAACAGTGATTTAAGAATTGTTCGTTCTACATGATGTCCCGTGTGTTCCGTGGAGACTCTTTTAACATTTGTAGCGGAGAAGTATGTCCTTTCCATCCTAGCACTTTATCTTCCGCCTCAGAGAAAAGATTCATCATTTGAAAAGAGGCGCACCACGGGGATCTCTTCCAGAAGTGATTCTGTCACGTTCTATCAAGCTGAGCAAATGCGCTCTCTCGGTGTTTCTTCATAGCTGTGGAATTTATTTTTTCTAATGAGATCCGAGATCTAAAGCGGACTCATAGCGAACCCTCACGGTAGGCAGCACCCAGGTTGTGTCTTCGACGTTGTTGGGATCCACGAGCAACAGCAACCACATACATCGGATGCTCTACTTTATGCTTATAATAATAGGCGTTATAAAATGGTCTAGGTAGACAGGAAATAAAACAACAACATTCGACAAGATTCATTCATTTCAATAAAAAAATACGTTATTTCTATAATTAAAATTGCTTTTACAGTTGAACCTCGGGTTTGTTATTATCAATATTAAATTCTCAAATTCAAATCTATACAATACGCGAAATCGAAAGATAATACGTTATTCCTCTATTTGGTTGTTGAACTGAGAGAAAATAACTTCGAGATCACGAATTCTTTTCTCGTATTCCAACTTCTCTTGGTCGTTGAACACGTACGGTTCGCTGCTCGCGTTGGGATAAATAATGTAGGGCTGCTTTCCGGACATAAACCACGCTCCATGTTTTATCTTGATCGGAGGCCTAGAGATAAACACTGAAGTTGGGTTAGCTGGAAGACCTTCGATCTTCTTCGCACCGTCCGAAGCGACAACATACGGTTGATCGTTCGCTCCGATGTAGTACAAGTTGTCATCCCAGTCCAGCGCTATTCTCTCAGCATGCTCAGCCTCGTTGACTTTGACTTTCTTGGTACCTTCCTCGATGACCTTGTAGACGACGTGGTCTTCCGTCAGAATGTACAGGTCGTCACTGCGGTTCTCTTTTACGATCCCGATGACGTTGTCACTCAGATTGCCGTACTTCTCAAGCTTCTCTGTTTCTGTGTCGTAAACGTAGATACCGTCCTTGTTGCCCAAATAGGCGCGCGACTTCGGAAAGTCATCAAAGACGGCTATGCCGTCTTCTAAAACTTTCTTCGCTTTGCCGTTCTTGTGGGCGTATATACTTTTGTCCACTTTATTGTCATCTCTGGTTACGTAACGCACGAGGAACGTTGTGGAGCCAAAATTGAACATTCCCCTGGAGTTGTCAGGATCCGAGCTGCTATTATTTCCGCTGATGTCATTCAGTGGATTAGTTATGTCATGTTTGCTGGAGTCAGTGTCGTAATCCTTTTGCGGCAATGAGTGAGAATCAGCCGTCTGCAGGCAAACCAGTAAGCCGGCCAGGCAAAATAACAGCACCCTCATCTTGGAATCTATAATCAGAATAAAAAGATATTTAGTACTATAGAGGGGAAGGTGAGCGTCACGTCAGTCAGACATCACGCGGGGACCGAACGTTAATATTCAAAATTCATTTAAAACGCTCTACTTTAATGCCGTTGGTAGTTAAGACTTCAACCTCATGTCTCAAGGCAGCTTTCCCGCTGTGGTCATGGGCTCCGTTTTCACTTATTATTTCTATCCATCTCAAACATTGACGAACATCTAAATACAGTAAGAATAAGAACAGTGACTTACCGTTTCGAGCAACAGAGCACGACTGACACTTCTGTGTTTGTGCGATCTGTATTTATGAACCTTATAAGATGCTTAGAAAAAACAAAACAGATACCCTTGAGGTCAAGTACATGTATCATTCACGAGACGTGCGCCGCGACTTTGCCCGCGTGAATTTGCAATTTTTTGAATGAACGTAATTTCAGTATTTCAGTATTGCAGTAGTCGGCACGAGTCTTGAGACTCTCTGAATTTGACATGCGCAGAATTACATTTTTGGGTCTGTGGGAACGAAGGGTCTGTGTTGATTCTGGGGGAACGAAGGAAGGGGGAGAATGACGCCGGCCATGTTGATTACGTGACTGGATCTTCCCGCGTCGTGTCGCATGTCGTCAGTTGTGCTGTGTTGTACACGCGCATCACTGTAGCAAACTACACTTTCGTCCAATTTTATTAGCCACACATTTTTTTATCAACCTCATTTAATTTATATTGTTTTTGGTAACTTAGTACTGATTTGACGAAATTAGTTTGGAAACCGTTATCGTAATCGTAACAAAAAAAAGACATGTGTGCAATCCACACGTAGTAGAAGTGAAACCTTCAAAAATTAAAATACAATTATCCTAATTGTCTAAGTACATATATGTAAAATCGATGCCTCCAATGAACACTACTCTAACTCAAAAGTTTTAAAATTTTCGTTTTTCACGAAAATCGAGCACCGCAGCCTCCGTCATGCCTGCCGCTCCCGTGTCACCTATACTGGCGAGTAAAACTGCTGCGTCGTCCGTGGCCACCATTTCAGATCCGCGATCATCTGCGGCCTCCGTCGCGCCCTCTAAAACACTTGCTCGTAGGTCGCCTGCGCCCGCCTCCTCGTCCTCCGACTCTGACTCAGACATGGAGGTCGACCTCACCCCCGCCTCATCGACGGATGGATTCACTCTGGTACAAAAGAGTAAGAAGCGTGCCGCGGAGTCTCGAGCTCCCGCGGCCGCTAAAATTAGCAAAACCGCGAACGCGTCGCGCCCCCGTCCTCAGACTCCCGTTGCGCCCCCAGCCCGTGTCACTCCGCATCCGGTGGCACATAATAAAACTCAGACCCCTCCCCCGATAATCCTTCAAGAGAAAGCAGCTTGGGACCGAGTTTCCCTGGCCCTTGAGGCCAACAATATCAATTTTGTCAGCGCCCGTAATCTCGCCAACGGGATTCAAATAAAAGTAACGACACCCGACGACCATAGGGTTCACTCAAGTTCCCTCCGCAAGGAGCGTATAAGTTTTCACACTTATACGCTACAGGAGGAGCGCCAACTTCGCGTTGTTATACGCGGAATCCCAAAGGAGCTAGATGCCGAGCTCGTCAAGACTGACCTGCTAGAACAAAGCCTTCCAGTAAATTCAGTACACCGCATGCACACCGGCCGCGGTAGGGACCCATATAATATGGTTCTAGTCACCCTCCAGCCTACCCCCGAGGGTAAGCAAATTTTTAACATACGGACCGTCTGTAGGCTCTCCGGGATCGCCGTCGAAGTCCCTCATAAAAAAGGCACTCCTAGTCAGTGCCATAACTGCCAACTGTACGGGCACTCTTCCCGTAACTGTCACGCGCGCCCCCGATGTGTTAAGTGTTTGGGCGATCGCGCCACGGCCCTTTGTAGTCGCGACCAGAAAACCGCCACCGAACCGCCTAGCTGCGTCCTGTGCCGAACACAGGGTCACCTCGCAAACTACCGTAGATGCCCCCGACCACCAAAAATAAATCGCCGCGTCGCCCGCCAAAACCGCCCCCGAGCTTCCCGCCCAGACATCAAAGCCTCAGCACCCGCGACTCGTCCCTCTCCCGCGACTTGCTCTCCGACTGCGTCTGATAATCTCGCTCTAGCGATCGACTTTTTCACATTCGATCAACTTTGAGCGCGTTAAACACGTACGTCCTCCCCTAACTTCTCCAGTAATCATTGGCGTACACAAGTAGAATAAAGCCCTTATCCGTAACGATAAGATTTTTTANCAGACATCAAAGCCTCAGCACCCGCGACTCGTCCCTCTCCCGCGACTTGCTCTCCGACTGCGTCTGATAATCTCGCTCTAGCGATCGACTTTTTCACATTCGATCAACTTTGAGCGCGTTAAACACGTACGTCCTCCCCTAACTTCTCCAGTAATCATTGGCGTACACAAGTAGAATAAAGCCCTTATCCGTAACGATAAGATTTTTTAACGCTTACGGTCTCGCAAATCAAGGTGACCAGGCTTGTGATTTTTTGCGTGACCATCAAATTGACATTTTTTTGGTGCAGGAGACCCTGCTTAAGCTCGTACGCCGCGACTCTAAAATCGCAAACTATAACATGGTTAGGAACGACAGGCTCACTGCTCGTAGTGGTGGTACCGTCATTTACTACAGAAGAGCCCTGTATTGCGTCCCACTCGACCCCCCCGCGCTTTCTAAAATCGAAGCATCAGTATGCCGAATCTCATTGACGGGACACGCGCCGATCGTTATCGCGTCCGTTTATCTTCCACCGGATAAAATCGTTCTAAGCATCTCGAGGCGCTGCTCGGCATGGGGAGCTCTGTCATTCTGGCGGGCGACCTAAATTGTAAACACATCCGGTAGAACTCACACACCACAACCCCTAATGGCAGGCGGCTCGACGCGTTAGTCGATGATCTCGCCTTCGATATCATCGCTCCGCTAAACCCGACTCACTACTCGCTAAATATCGCGCATCCACCGGATATACTTGACATAGCGTTATTAAAAAACGTAACTCTGCGCTTACACTCGATCGAAGTAGTTTCAGAGTTAGACTCAGGCCATCGTCCCGTCATTATGAAGCTCGGTCGCGATCCCGATTCCGTTCCTGTCACGAAGACTGTGGTGGATTGGCACACGCTGGGCATCAGCCTGGCTGAATCTGATCCACCATCGCTACCGTTTAGCCCGGACTCTACTCCGTCTCCTCAGGATACCGCTGAAGCCATAGACATCGTAACGTCACACATCACCTCGATATTAGATAGGTCATCGAAACAAGTTGTAGCGGAGGACTTCCTTCACCGCTTCAATTTGCCCGACGATATTAGGGAACTCCTTAGAGCTAAGAACGCCTCGATCCGCGCCAACGATAGGCATCCTACCGTGGAAAATCGTACTCGAATGCGTGCCCTACAACGCGACGTAAAGTCTCGCATCGCCGAAGTCCGAGATGCCAGATGGTCTGATTTCTTAGAAGGACTCGCGCCCTCCCAAAGGTCTTACTACCGCTTAGCTCGTACTCTCAAATCGGATACGATAGTAACTATGCCCCCCCTCGTAGACCCCTTAGGCCGACTCGCGGCAATCGATGATGACGTAAAAGCGGAGCTGCTGACCGATGCATTGCAAACCCAGTGCATGCCCAGCATTCAATCCGCGGACCCAGTTCATGTAAAATTAGTAGACAGTGAGGTAGAACGCAGAGCCTCCTTGCCACCCTCGGATGCGTTTCCACCCGTCACCCCGATGGAAGTTAAAGACTTGATCAAAGACCTACGTCCTCGCAAGGCTCCCGGTTCCGACGGTATATCCAACCGCGTTATTAAACTTTTACCCGTCCAACTCATCGTGATTTTGGCAACTATTTTCAGGGCCGCTATGGCGAACTGTATCTTTCCGACGGCGTGGGAAGAAGCGGACGTTATCGGCATACACAAACCCGGTAAACCATAAAATAATCCGACGAGTTACCGCCCGATTAGCCTCCTCATATCTCTAGCCAAACTGTATGAGCGTCTGCTCTACAAACGTCTTCAGAGTCGTCAGAGACTTCATCTCATCCAAGGGCATTCTCATCGACGAACAATTCGGATTCCGTGCAAATCACTCATGCGCACAACAGATGCACCGCCTGACAGAGCACATTCTCGTAGGAGTTAACCGACCAAAACCGATCTACACGGGAGCCCTCTTCTTCGACGTCGCAAAAGCGTTCGATAAAGTCTGGCACAACGGTTTGATTTTCAAACTATTCAGCATGGGCGTGCCAGACAGTCTCGTGCTCATGATACGGGACTTCTTGTCCAACCACTCTTTTCGATATCGAGTCGAGGGAACCCGCTCCTCCCCGCGACCTCTCTGTCCACCCGCTCCTCCTATTTAGCTTATTCGTCAACGATATTCCCCGGTCGCCGCCGACCCATTTAGCTTTATTCGCCGACTACACGACTGTTTACTATTCGAGTAGAAATAAGTCCCTTATTGCGAAGAAGCTTCAGAGCACAGCCCTAGCCCTAGGACAGTGGTTCCAAAATAGCGCATAGATATCAATCCAGCGAAAAACACCGCAGTGTTATTTCAAAGGGGAAACTCACCGCTTATTTCCTCTCGTATTAGGAGGAGAAATATCACACCCCCGATCACCCTCTTCGGCCAATATATACCCTGGGCCAGGAAGGTCAAGTACCTGGGAGTCACCCTGGATGCATATGTGACATTCCGCCCGCATATAAAAACAGTCCGCGACCGTGCCGCATTTATTCTCGGCAGACTCTATCCCATGATCTGTAAGCGGAGTAAAATGTTCCTTCGGAACAAGGTGACCCTTTACAAAACTTGCATAAGGCCCGTCATGACTTACGCGAGTGTGGTGTTCACTCACGCGGCCCGCACATACATAGACACCCTCCAATCCCTACAATCCCGCTTTTGCAGGTTAGCCGTCGGGGCTTCGTGGTTCGTGAGGAACGTTGACCTA